GTCCCGCTCACCAGGCAGGTCAGCTCGGGACCACCGGTGGATGCTCTGTCTCCGTCTCTCTCCCTCCTCCCACGCCTCATAAATCCAGGTTCCCTTCTGTTCAGGGGCCTCAGACGAGAACCCCCACAGCACCCTCTCTCACTGCCTCCTGTTGGTTTCCTTCAGAGTCTTGTGTGATGTGTTTTCCCAGCTGTTTTGTTTGTTCTGACTCGGGCACCTCGGAGGTCTGGGCCTACCTCAGCAGATCTGACCGGCCAGCCTCCGTGGTCAGGACTGAGCCCTGTTCTTGGCAGGAGGAAGCCCCGTGTTGCCTGGCATCGTCGATGAGGACACACCCGACTCGACGACACAGTGCCCCCAGGATCTCCCCACAGAGCTACCCTGCTGCGTTTGTAGCTTAAAGTCGTGCTGGGCGATGCTCGGAGATGGTGTGAAGACTGCTTCTCAACGACTCCCTCCCGGGTTCTGCTGGAGAGGTCCCATGGGGGTGGCAGCGAGGGTCCCTTCAGGATGGAAATGGAACCCTCCATTCCCGCTCGGAGGGCTCTGCCCAAGGACTGCACCCCAGCTGGCGGCCAGGTCTCCTGCTGTAGGTGGAGCCTCCAGGGAGCGGGACCCACAGACCCGTGCGCGCAGGGCCCCAGCGCTTGCTGACCCTCACCCCTGCTCTGCTCTCCCTACCCGCCCTCCTCCCGCAGGCACCCAAGGTGCTTATGTGGGGAGAGGGTGCCTCCCTCACTCTCAGGAGGAACAGTCAACACCCTGCCCCTTGGTTCCTCGCCACTGGCTCCCAGCACATCTCTGCGCCCCAGAGCTGACTTTCTGAGGGAGACAGGGGTGGGGGCAGGAGGCCCACTGTCCCAGGGGCACAGGCCTGGTCCAGGGTCCACCTGGGGATGAGCTTGTCTTCCCAGCCAGACGGTGCTGCTCAGAGAGGGAGACAGGTCGGCCCAGGGCCCCAGACCAGCGCCCTCCCCACGACGATGCCTGGAACCGCGTGTCCCTGAACTCCCTCCGAGTTGCACTAGATCCAGCTGTTTCCAGACGGGGAAGCTTCAGCTCCTCGGGGCGGGGGGACGTGCCCAGCTGCCCGTCCTGACTCGTGGGCTCAGCACCAACGGAGACAGAAGCTCGCGTGACGGGAAGGTAGGTTTTATTTCGGAAGCTCCCCTGTGCGCGACCTCTGACAAGAGACCCCGGCCCGACCCCGGGGGCCTGGCCGTCCCAGGCCTTCTCTGCAGGAGGGCTCCCTCAGAGCGGTCAAGGCAGGACACAGAGGAATGGCCCTTCTGGCCGAGCACTTCTGGGAAACGGCATGCCTGGCCACATTGATTTTTCCCGGCTTGCAGTATCTCCTGTTTACACATCTGTCCGGCCAGTGGCACTCCGGGAGCTTTTGTACTGGAACTGTAAAACTTTGCTTAGCTGAGTTATGCAGAACGCACACTGCGGGCAAACAGCGCAGGTCTCATCTGAGGTGACCTCTTCTAGATTTTCCTGACCATTTGTGTTGAAGGCCTGGCACGGATGGGAGGGCTTGGCCTGGCATGTGACCCATTCAAGGAGGGGGCTGCCCTCCCGTAGCCCCGACCAGCAACGCCATGTATGCGGGGCCCCTGGGGAGTGGTAGAGACTAGCCAGAGACGGGCTTTGTGCTCTGGGCTGTGGCCCAGACGCAGGACTCCAGAGCCTCAGGCTGGGGACAGCTGGCTTTGGGAAACCAGGTAGAGAACTGGTTCTTAGGCCAACGTTAAAATGTCCCTGCCAACGAGCAGCCCTCTGGGCCTTCCCTTCCCCGAGCCCGCCTTGCCCAGGAGGTCCCTGGAGGACACGTGTCCACCCCGTCTCAGTCCCAGAGTGGGGGGGGGACCGGCTCACGTGGGGAAACCCCCGGCCCTGGGTGGGCTGGCCTGATCCCCGCTTTGTGCTCCCAGGACCCTGGTCCTTTACTCTGTGGGGTTCTCAAGGGGCTCCCAGGACAGAGAAACACACTGCGAATGGAGAAGACCCCTCCTGGTTTCAAGCAGGGGCCTCATCGCCGGAGTCTCAACCCTGACCGATCTCTAACACTTCGTGAAGAAACCTGCCCACCTGGCCTCGGAAAGGCGGTCCGAGTGGAATTTCACTTCCCGCTTGGGAGGAGCAAGGAAAGCAGCAGGATGAGGAGGTACTCGCGGCAGGAAGACTCAGCCTGCTCAGCCGCGACGCTGGGGGAAGGGAGAGGCTGGCGCAGCTAGGGTCGGGCTGGGAGGACTTTAATGGGGCGCTCACACCTGGGCCTCCGCCCTGGCTGTCATGCACCTCTCAATCCACTTGAGGAAATTGGTGACCTTGGTGTAGACCCCGTACTTCCCCTTGCGCGCGCACCCCTCCCCCAGCTGACGATGCCGGTGACAAAGTAGGTGTCCCTGAAGCGGGTGACGTGGGGGCCGCCGCTGTCGCCCTGGCAGGCGTCCTCGGGCTGCGCATCGTAGCCGGCGCAGAACATGTTGGGGGTGATGGCAAAGCTGCTGGACAGCTTGCAGGTGCTCCGGTCCACGTAGGGCACCTCCAGCATCTTGAGGGTGGAGGACAGGCGACCCCGCTCGTGCGTGCGCCCGAAGCCGCTGACGATGCCCGACTTCTGTGTCAGCAGCGTGGCCTCGGCCCAGTCCTTCTCAGGCAGGCAGGCAGGGGCCACGTTGTGGCGGAACCTGATGGGCGTCCGGAGCTTGAGCACCGCGATGTCGAAGTCATACGTCTCCCGCACGAACTTGCCATGCTTCACCGTCATCTCCACCTCGTGCACCATCTCATTGCCCTCCTCCTTCTCCGTGTCCCGGTCGCCTGAGGATGGGGACATGGAAGTCAGCTGGGCTGCAAGATGCTGCTTGGTGCTGACTTCTTAGAGCCAGCCAGGATTTTCCTGATTAAAAACGGGCACGCGGCCACTGGGACACGGGAACAGAGGACAGCACAGCAAGGCCATGACAACGGCCTCCCGTCTGCTCATGGGTGCGCGCTTCCAGGCCTGACGACGTCCCAAACCCGCGCTGCCCCAAAGCCACCGCCCGGGCACCAGGCAGGACCCACATGCGCTGTGAGTGTCCCATCTCAGGCTCGGAATGAAAAGTAACTCAACGTGCCTCATGAGGACTTTAAATCACAAGTTGGGATGACAATACTCTAGACATACAGGGTCATGAAATTCATTATTAAAATCAATATCCCCTTAAGCTTTTTAAATGTATGATAAAAATTTGAATGTAACTGGAAAGTTAAAAGTCACAGAGGTGGCTGGCGCCCGTGGCCCGCGCTACATTCTCAGTGAATGGCTCCAGGGCCTAGTAGAGAGTGGGGGGCTCTAGGAAATGCCCCCACAGCCAAGGAGGCGAGCACAGGCGTTTGGCTGCTAGGACCGCTGGCTCTGGGAGGCTCCCTGGAGGAAAGGGCTCTCAGGGGGCGGACACTGCCTGCCAGGCGGAGAGCGTGGACCCTGCGGGAGGCCAGTCCGAGGCCGCCCCCTCCGCTTCCCTCCCCTCCCCGCCTCCATCTGGGACACTCCCCCAGTCCCCAGCCCCCTCCCCCACAGGAGCTCAGTATTGTAACTAGTGTTTCCAGAAGAGGTGATTGTTCCAGTGCTCTCTGAAAACAGAAGGGCAGGGGTGGGCGCAGGCAGCACTTACCGACCCTCACCTTGAACCGCTGGGCCTGGTGGAGGCAGTGGGCCGCCGTGAGCACGTAGTGCTCGCTCAGGATGGTGCCCCCGCAGAAGCCCTCGTTCTCCTCGTTGATGAGCAGAGCCTGGACGGGAGCCGGGGGCCGCAGGCAGGGCTGACTTTCCCAGACAACCTCCAACCCTCCCCGCCACCCTCCGCCAGAGCAGGGAGGGCCTCCCGGGCTGGAGGGAGGCCCAGGCCCGCCCAGCACGGTGCCCGCCGCCTGTTCTCGGAGCCGGCTCACCATGGCCCCCACCCCGGCCCCACAGCCCCACTAAGTGAATCGAGGGGTCCTCTGCCCCCTGGCCTGAGGCTCACTTGCTGGCACTGTTGGCCTTTATTTCCCGGCCCTGTGATGGCCCCCTCTGGAGCCTTGTGCCCAGAAGAATCTGTTGTCCCTTGGGGGAATCAGGCCCCAGACCGGCAGACGCCCGTCTCGGGGGAAGACAGTTGCCAAGCTGGGCTCTGGGATGGTTCCATGGCCAAACCCTCCCCCTGAGGCCGTGGGCGCCACGTTCAAGGCTGGTTTCCTGGGGCTTCGCGTGGCTGTGCGGCAAAGGCTGTCCTCCCCGACAGGGTGTGGGGAACAGTCCACCTGGGACGGGCACTGCCTGGGCAAGCTTCCTTTTCCCCCAAGAACTGGGCTTGCAAGTGTGAGGGGGCGTTTTCTGTTTTCCCTTCTCTGGGGACCCCCTTCTCTAAGCAACAGCCATTGGTTGGGGGAGGTTCAGGTCAATGAAACACGTAACAAGATCAAGTTCTAAAAGAATTCTTGAAGATGTTCATGACTAGCGTGAAGTAGCGATATTTTTGCTTTTTTTTTTTGCATAATTTTGTCAGTTCACGATCCCACGTGGGTGACAAGTGAGGAGGGTCCATCTTCCTGAGGCTTGGGCACGGACTGTTCTTCATGAAGGGGAGATAGGGCCCCTGGCCAAGACTGGGACCAGGACGGTAAGGTCACGGCTCCCAGCAGCCTCAGTGCCGGTGCCACCCACTCCTCTCCAGGGGAGCCCCAGCCGGAGCACCTCTCGGAGCCACACGTCTGCCCCTACAGAGTGGGGCTACCCTCCTGTCTTGGAGGGGACTCACATGCTCCACTGGTCCCACACTCCTGGCCCTCATCACACACCAACTTGAACTGTGGGGATGTGGGGGGGTCCTCGCCTCCCTTCCAGATCGACATGTCACACGACAGAGGAGAGGCCCTGGTGGTCTCAGACCCACACGTACAACAAGCTGGGCAGCCCTGATGGCCACATGCTCTCCATGAACCTGCGCTGTGTGAACGGTGACCAGGGGCTGGCGTGTCCTCACCTCAGGCTCAGGTCACTCAGACAAACACACACCTGTCATGTAGCTGGTGGGACCAGCTGACACTCCTAAGACTTGTTGGCGGCTCTGGGAATTTTCCTAGTAGGAGAAGCCATTTTAGCTTTGGACACTAAAAGTGAGGATTGCCAGGTAGAACAGAGGGCCCCCAGTTAAATCTGAATCAAATAAACAGCAAATGACTTTTAGTGTAAGTATATCCCGTGTGACATCTGAACACATACTAAAAGTATTCATTGTTTATCTGAAATTCAAATTTAAGTGGAAGTCCTGTTTTTGTTCGCTAAGTCTGGCAACTTTAGTCCAAATCAACAACCACAGAGTGATTTTTTTTACCTTTGAAAACAAAGGGCTGTATGTTTCTCTATACTACCTGCTTCATCAGGACTTAGATGTTTGGATTAAAAAAATCTACCAAATAAGAAATGAAATAAGGAAACTGACCCTGTCTGCCTCTGGTCAAGCAAGCAGAGGCCTCTCGGCCACCAGGGGAGCCACCCCCAACCCGCAGGACCAGACCCTTCCCTGCTTGGGCGGGGCATGGGGGGGCCCCAGCCTCTTGACCGCAGCTCCTCCCACGGGGTGCTCCCAGCCTGCTGCGGGCCTGCGGGCAACACTCCACGGGGTTACCTGCCAGGGGCACTCGCCCTCCTTGCAGTCCCTCCCGCCCACGATGCGGACCAGGCTGCTCTCGTCCTCCTCGGGGCTCGGCTCTGTCTCGTTGAGGTGCAGCAGGAAGGAAGGGCTCTCGGTGGGGCCCAGGTCTTTGGGGTTGTCCTGCTCCAGCAGGTTGATCTCAGTCTTGGGGGTGGCCGACCTTCGGCTGCGTCCCAGCGTGAGTTTCCCACAGGGGAAGGGCTCTGAAAGGAAAGCAGCCTGGTCTCCGCATAGCAAAAGCCTCCTCACGGGGCACACCCGGTCCACCACGCATGCAGGGGGAGCGGGTCAGGTGGAGGAGCCAGGAGTGAGCCCTGGGACGGGGCAGCCAGGGGCCTTAGGGGAGCGGGGTGCCTGTGTCCTGCTAGGGGCTGGCCGACCTGTGTGCCGAAGGGTCACAGGGGACTCTATAGTCCACCCAGGATGCCTGCAGAAAACCAGTGGCTGCGGATGGACAGAGGACCACGGGGTGGCTGTGGGACAGCGGGTACAGTGAGATGGTGACAAGGGTGCTCACTGTACAGCTCTTTAAACCCTGCTTTGTGTTCAAAACATTTCCTAACGAAACACTGAAGGGAGTGTTCTGGGCAGAAAGAACACCAGGTAGAGCGTTGTAAGAAAACGTCTAGGAACTGACGGTGTCCTTAGGAGCGCCAAGCACACGGAGGTGTCAGTCAACACTAAAAAGCCTCCTTTTGCATTGTTGCCAATCAGGGAACGGAGACCAGGGCTGGGCAGAGCAGAACGGGGGTGGGGACAGGCTCGGGGCTCACGGGAGGCCACACAAGCAAAGCTCGGCTCCTGGCGTAGGCGCTGCAGGGCCTGGAGGGACACCCGCCCAGCGGACAGGGACGCGAGCTCTTCGCCCTGCGTTAGCTGGTTCTGTGTCAGTCTGCAACCACCGCCCCGTGACATCCGGCACCAGTCTGTCCATGACTTAGAACAGAACTTGTACCAGGAAGCAGTTCACCTGCTTTATTTTCAAACACCAAACTTTGTATTTTAAGTTGATCTGTGATTATTCCTGGAATTTAAAAACATTCTGCAAGATGTCAAGACATGACTTCAATCCAAATCTTCCTGAGCAGCTTAAGGGTAAAATCTCACTGCCAGCAGATGGAGATTTACTTATACACGACTTCCCGTCGGGGATGTGCCCACCCTGCAGCGGCCTGGACGCTGAGTTCCTGACCTGCCCCTGGTGGGCGTCAGTCCCGGCCTGCAGGAGGGTGAGCTGGGGCCCAGCTGAGGAGGACACCAAGTTGAGGGGGGCGTGGCCACCGGGAGCCTCTGGCCTGCAGGCAGGGTCAGACAGGCCGAGTGCAGAACTCCCCACAGGACGTGAGACGGGGCCCTCCCCAGGACCTGGGCCCTCACCCAGCCCTCCGTGAGCTTCTAGGCCACACTCATGGCATCCAGCTTTTGTCAAGGAAAAAACTCCACTAACATCAGGGTGCACAAACCCAGGTCAGTTCTGGAGGGTCCTCATTCCCCTCCGGCCCCTGCACTCCGCCGCCCCAACTCCTAGGCCAGGCCCGCAATGCCCTCGCCACCAGCCCAGGGCTCCAGCCTGGCATAACTCCAGCCTCCCAAGCCCCACCCTTCCCAGGGGGACGGGGTGCCAGCGTCACAGCTCCGTGGTGGCTATGCAGGATTTGCTGCCATCCAGGCACTGCCAAGTGACCGATCACTCCTCAGGCTCCGGCGCACCTGGGAGCGCTGACATTACCGGGCTCATCTTCCAGGTGCTCGCAGACCAGCGGGTCTGCTTCCAAGCCCCACTGGGACGCCAGCCCCCGCCCACGGCCCAGTGCGCGCCCCTCCTACCTGTAGAGACACAGGACTTGCCGTCATCCCCGAGGACGTACCCCCTGGCGCAGGAGCACACCACGGAGCTAAACTCCTCCCTGCAGAACTGCTCACAGTCCCCGTTGTCCAGGCTGCAGAGCTGGCGCAGGGCTGTGGGAAGGCAAGGCAGCTGAGGGGGCAGCCGCGGGACCTGTGCCCGCCTGTCAGACCCACGGCAGGCCAGCGGCCAGAGCCAAGGGCCGGTGCACACAGGCAGGTCCCTGCAGGCAGGATGGCGCCCAGGGCAGGCACCTCTCACACCTGCCCGTTTCAGACCGTGAGGGGGAACCACACAGAGGCAGGGCCCTGGGCGCCAGGCCTCCTGAAGGTCCTGAGAAGCCCACACACCCAGGGAGGGCCTGGAGGGTCTCAAGTTCAGCCCTAGGAAGGGCCCGTGGGTGCAGACCAGCAGGGGAGGGGCCACAGTGTCCACTCTGAGGCAAAGGTCCTCTGTGGAGTGAAGGACCTGGGTCCCGCTTGGGTGCGGCAGTAAGGAGAGGCAGTGGCCATGTCCTGGACTTGGGCTGACTCCGGCTGGCCCTTCCATCTCCTGCTGTGTGATCTGGGCAAGTTATTTATGCCCCGCGGCCTGCTTCTCTCTTGCAAAGTGGTTGAGGTCACATGCCTCCCAGGACAGCCTTCCACGGCCCGTGAAGCTCTGGGCAAGTGGACCTCACAGCCGGGAGGAGCGGGTCCTGCACGCCCCAGCCCCTCTGACTGAGCCCACGTCACCCCGGCTCCCAGTGTGCGCTGGACACCAGCCCAGACTCCCAGCAGCGAGGCCGCCCTGGCAACTGATACTACATTCTGCCGTTGGGTTTTGATGAAACCGCGGTCACCGTGCAAAGATCAACATTAAAGGAGTCAGAAACCGTTCACAACAGCCCCGGGGTCAGCCAGACTGAGCCTGCGGAGGCAGCTCTGGGCTGAGGGTGCAGGAGTGCAGGGCTCACCAAGTATCCGGCCTAAGAGCGAGCTCTGAAGACTGTAAATTAAGAAATTTAACAAGAAACGCCAATCTTTCCCCTTACGGAAAACTGGTCTGTTACTAACCCATTTTTATTCAAGATGAATCACCACATTAGGAAGCCCTTAGAGTCATTCCACGTAGAATGAACCACACGGAATTCTCATGGCCAGGCCTTCCTGAGCACTCAGTGTGGAGTTGTGCGCTGACAGCCACGAGGCAACGGTGGTATTTACAACCACTTTCCAGGTCCCAAGAGACACAAGAAATGTCTGCTCCAAGCTGAGTCTCGTCTCCAGGTGACAGGCCTCACGCTTCATGGAGGTCACAGCCTCTCAGAGGAGCATGAGGTGCCTGCGTCCCCTGTCCCGCAACACCACGTGGACCATGGCACACGCTGGGGCGGACTTTGGTTTTGCTGTTTGGTTTCTATGCTGGACAGCGAGCTGGAGCACCAACTAAACCACGAGTGACCGGAGTGGGTCTGGGCCTTTAGCTTCCTCCCTCTTTCCCACCTTGACTCCTCTGGAAACCCTGACCTGAAGGCACACCGAGAAGGGGGACTCACGTAATTCACAGTTTTTGCCTTCAAACCCTTCCACACAGGTGCATGTGTACTCCCCGAGGCCGTCTTTACAGGTGCCCTGATTCAGACAAGGACTGCTGTCACACTGGTCACCATCTGCAAAGGAAAAATGTGGAAACCAAAGCTTGCAGGCAATCCTCATCATTGAGGAAATGATTCCACTGTGTTGATCTTGGCCGCATTTCTCAGATAACCCAAATGATCCCAGAATTCTCTCTGTTTTCCTGTAAACAAGTTGTTCTATCTGGACGCCATTCTGCCCCCAAGTTTCGTGGCCGTGCATACGTGACCCCTTATCTAACTGGATTATTGACTGAGTTTTCCATTTTTGCTGAGACGTTTGATGTGTTCTTACAAACACTGATGTTTTTACAGCAGGGCGAGGAGCCCTGGGCTGGTGACCACGTGGGGCCGGCTGGAAGGACGGAGAGGGGGTGATGGCCAGGCACCGGCCAGAGGGATGTCAGGGTTCCTCTTTCCAAATGGTCTGGGGGGGAGAAAAATGCAGGAACGCCTGACCAGCACTGACATGGGACTTCACGCTTCCTGGTGCATTTATACGCTATAATTAGGGGTAGTTTCAATCATCGTTTTGAGTAACTTGAATACTGTTTACAGAATGAAAACATTAGTTATGATGAATACCATTTCAGATGCTATAAGCATTAAACCAAGGTGGTTACCTTATTAGAGAGCCCAATGTTTCAGACTCTTTTTTTCCCTTTTGTATGCTTATTAAAATGACATACAACATTTAACAAAATCAACACTGAGACAGGCACCACTAAAACGGAAGGCTTCTCATCAAAAAATTACTGGTAATTAAGCTTTTAAAAAATGGGTGTATATTTTATTCTTTCACAACTGAAATAGCATTGCACCCATTAAAACAATTATATTTTATTCTGAGTATACCCAGAAAAAACCCAAATATAATTATCACAAACCCTCATATAACTCTAACTTTTCTTTAAACAAGGAATATTTTGAAACTTTAAGTTTTCATAGGCCTCAGTAACCAACTGTGTATTCATTAGTAAAGGGTATCCTTTTTTCTAAATTGAAGTTTAGTCAGTTACAATGTGTTGATTTCTCATGTACAACATAATGTCCCAGTCATGCATACATACATACATACATTCATTTTCATATTTTTTCATTAAAGGTTATTATAAGATAGACTCTATTTTCCGTTTCTACCTAATATACTTGGATTTTTAAAAAAATTATGGGATTTGGTATCCTCAAAAAAAAATAAACTAATTTAAATGTATATTTAAGTAAGTAACAAACCTCGAGTTAGTATAAAGTTACTATAAAAAACTATTTTACAGTAACTATTATAGAAACACTCAAGGGGAAAAGTCTTAAATGAGTAAATTTTAAACAAGAGCAGAAAGGAAATTCAGGAAACATTTTCAAAATTTGAATACAATCTCTCCCAATTTAAATCCCCTAATGAACCCCTCTAAGATTAAAATAGAAAACATCTCACCTTTGTATTTATTCCAGAATTCATTCTAAAAAGGAAAATTTAAAAATGCATTAGAGAAAATCGACATTTTACACCAATTACAACCACAAACTAGTAACTCAACCTGAATAGTATACTTTTCCAAACAGAGGTCATTTTCTGGAACAAACTGCTCTAGAACTATGTAATCTAAAAAGGAAGGTTCTTCAGATTTTCTGCATTTGTAAAGTGGTGGCTTTGATCACTTTTTCAGAAATACATATTTGTAAAAGAAATGATCATACCCCAACAGCCTAGCATGCATTTTCTTGCTTGCTCACAACAACTGAACATGGCATCTGGGAAATACTCTATAATGTTAAATCTACTTTTCCAGCTTTCATTCTAGCAAACTCACTAATTATATGATCACAATCAAAGTTTTCACATAATTTGCTTCAACTGTAAGTAATCCCAACTTAGACTACTTTTCTCAAACCAAAGAAGTTCCTATATAAGTTTTGCTTGTTTTTCACTCATTTCAATTTGCAGAAAATCTGCTGAGACAACTGAAGCAAAATCTCTAAAGCATTACTTAAATTTAGAAGCAAATCACAAACTTTATGTACCATGTTCAAACACTGTAACACATTCATAATGGAAAATTACTGTAAGTGATTAATATTACAAAATATTTAAATTTTATCATATAATAATTTTTTACCACTCTTAAATCAATACCTATAGCCAAGCTTTTATGTAAAGAATCAGTATCACACTCCACGTGTTATGTCTAGAACTATATATGTATCAATTTAAGCATAATATGAATCGTTTAAAATGACGTTTCCCAGATGCCATGCTCAATTATCTTAAATGCACATCTTTGTTGAATATTGAAAATTTATTTTCAAGTAATTATCAAGAAATGGATTGTACCAAAAACAGTTTGCTCTGTTTGCTACCCCCAAGCCAATTAATGAATGGTTTTTAATTAACATACCTGGATCAGATTCAAAAAAGGATCAGATGCTGGAGAATAAGCATTATGCTACTTGAAAAAAATGATAATTGATAATTAACTTAAAACAGGGCATTAAGAGCCTATATAACATGAAAAAGAAATCTTTAGTCTTTTGTTTTTTTGCTATCGGGGGTAGGTTCCTTGTTAATAATCTTTATCAGATTGAAGAAGTTCCCTTTTAATTGCAGTCTGCTGGTAGGTTTTAATCATAAATGGCTGTTACAATCTGTCAGATGCTTTCTGCACATCAGTTGATATGATTATGTGGATTTTCTTCTTTAAACAGTTAATATGGTGGATCACAGTACTGATTTTCAAATACTGAGCCAGCCTCGTGTGCCCAAGATAAACACACTTGGTCACTGTGTATTCTTTTTTCATACATTGCTCTACTCAACGTGCTAATGATTTATTGAGAATTCTGACGAGAGGATCCTGAGAGAGACTGGTCTATAGCTTGCTTACTTTCCTTATTTTTTTCATTCTCTCTTCCTCCCTCCCTCCCTCTTCTGTCCCTGTGGGTTGTGGGATCAGGGTAATGGTGGTCTAAAACAAATTAACAAGCGTCCCCTCTTCTTTTCTAGAAGAGATTATACAGAACTGGTGTTACTTCTTCAAACGTCTGATAAAATTCACCAGTGACACCATCTGGACTTGGACATTTCTTTTTCAGTAGGTTCTTAACTAAGAAGTTGAATTTGCAAATACCTCCTTCACACTGTGCGTTTTCATAGTTTGTGGTTTTGAGGAATTGGTCCATTTCATCCAAATTGTCCAAATTTCATCCAAATTTGTGTGTGTTGTGTGCAGCATTCTCTTATTACCCTTTTTTAGCACGTGCAGGATCTGTACTAACATTTTCTCTTTCATTCCTCATATAGTGTATGTGTTCTTTTTTGTCATATTAAATCTTATTGGTTTTATTGATTTTTCTCTATTATTTCATGCCTTCAATTTTATTGATTTCTCTTCTTTAGGGTTTATTTTGCCCCCTTTTTGATGCCTTAAAGTGGAAGCTAAGATGATCAATTTGAGATCTTTCTTCTTTTCCAGTAAAAGTGTCTAGTGCTATCATCCCTCTGTAAGCACTGTTTAGCTGCAGCCCACAGGTTTTGTACGTTGTATACTCATTTTTGTTCAGTTGGAAGGATCTTCTAGCTTCCCGTGAGGCTTCTTCTTTGGCACATGGATTATTCAGAAGTGTGCTAATTTCCACATACTTGGAAACTTTCCTGTCATTGATTTCTGGTTGATTCCAGTATGGTCAGATAACGTATTTTGTACGACTTTAATCTTTAAAATCTGTTAAGGTGTGTTTTATAATACAGAATGTGGTCTATTTTGTGGAACGTTCCATGGGTGCTTGGAAATAAATTACATTCTGCTGCTGTTGAGACTCGTATAAATTCAGTTAGATTCAGGTCAAGTGGTGTCTGGAGAACTGAAAGAGAAAAACATGGTAACCTCACAGCCAGTTACACAGGACTCTGAATTGGTTTTCTCCTGCAATACACTGCTGCTAGCTGCTTTTCAGGTTCCTCAGACCACTGCCCCATGCTCCCTACCCCAGCGCTGCAGCTGCAGTCGGTGGAAGAAACAGGGTGGAGTCCGCTTCCCCTGTACAACCAGAACCAGAACTTGCTGATAACCTAGATCCAGGACTCCTTCTCTGGAGAGGCTCTTAAAAGATACCCCAGAAGAAACACATGTTCTGTGTTTTCATAAGAGCAACGTTAAGAATAACCTATATGGGAAAACTGTGGAAAGAGTAAATGCACCCATACAATAAAATACAATTTCGTTCTTTAAACTTACAAGTATGGTAGCTGCGAGGTAATGAAGAGTGGGAAATGATGCTGAGGAAAAGGCAGAACGTGAACTTGGACGACTGGCATTACAATTATTTTTGTTATTAAAAAACTGTATGTGTGTGTAAATTAAAGGAAACTTTAAAAATAAAAAGTTCTTGAAATTATGAATTTTTTTTCTAAAGAGATAAATTGTTTATCTGGTAACAAGGAGTAAAAATGCACTCTTAACTCCCCTCTCGCTTCTGGTGGCTGAAATGAGCCACGGTAGTCAAGTGGGTCCCCACACAAGAGCTCCCTTGCGGACCTTGATCTTTAGCAGAAATGCAAAGACGTCTGAGTCACACAACTTCACAATTATTATTTTCTAGAAAGAGATGCCAACTGTCGTGCTGTTCAGCGTGTCGGGGCTGCCACCTTATCGTCACCCTCAGGTTTCACCTTTCAGGCAGGAAGCAGAGCACGTCCTTGACGGTTCTGGATCTGTGAGGAGCGAGCTGATGAGCTGCCGACCTCACCACAGCCACGGCCACAGCCAGCTCCGGAGCAGCCAGGCCCAGGGCGGTTTTCACACACGAACATCATCCGTGCTGGCAGCTCTGGCCGGCTCTTTAAAAACCCGCCTCCTGCTGAATGGGGGTATTTAACTCAGTGCAGGCGCTGCACACTTCCTTCCTCAGGACAAACTGCTCAGGGAGACCCAGCGTGGTCTGCCTGGCCCAAGAGTGGGTGATCACAAATGAACGAGCGTGGGGCTGCTGTGAGGCGCTGTAAGGAGCTCCCTGGCAAGCTGATCAAGAAGCCTGTCTGTGGGGGGTATTCAAAAGCTTCTGCCACACAGATATGCTCTGTACCTTTTTTCAGTTTCTTCAGTTTTGAAGAGATTAGTTTCTGGCAGCTTTGCTCCCAGTCTTTCTTAGGCTCTTGTACCATGCTGATTTCCCAGAAGGGTGCGGTGACATCGATCTCACGGGTCTGGCCTGCTGGGCCATCTGGGTGGAGGGTGATCTTGTAACTGCCTGCAACACGGTTCACCATCCCTGATGTAATAGCCCCGATTTCATGAGCTCGTGATTGTGGACACAGACCATGTAAAATTCAGGTGGTGAATTCAAGCCAAATCATCTGGAACTGGCATCCATTACACATGGGTCACTGCCACCAATTACCAGTGTCTTACAGCAGCATTCTGGAGCAACTCTTACACATCAGATCGTGTCCAGCTTGTGGGAGTTGATGGAAAGCTTGGCTCCTCTTGAAGCGTGTTCACCATGGAAAGTTGAATCTAGGAACCCCAACTCATCCGGGAAACTTTTTATATATGTGATGATCGCGGGGTGGGCGATGCACGTCTTCCTCAGAGTCACTCAGCATCTCCAACGGTACTGCTTCTCCTGGCTCTGGGGACCAAACGAGGATGAGGGGCCACGTGTAAGCAGTGTGATTCTCTGGAGAGTGCCGCTCAGCTTGCCCTTCTCGGCTTTCCCAGGACTCTCCGGAACTCCACGTACGTCCCCCCAAGGCAGCCTGCCGCAGACATGAGCGACTTAGAGAGTCTCGGATTGGCCGTGACTTGCACCTTGGCTTGTCCTCTGGGGGCACAGAAGATGAGCTTCCCACAGGAGCTCTGCTGGCGAGAACCCCACCGCCCACCTTTAGGGTGAGCTGGTCCGGTGGTGTTCGGGCTGCAGCGAGTGGGCAGGGGACTGCACGAGCCTGTGAGGCCGGGGCCCCCAGCGCCCAGTCTGCTGGACGCTCCACTGAGGCCTCGCGGTGCGGACGGGTCCGCTGTCCGCACTCTGCGACGCGGCTGTCTCTCGCGGGCTCCTGCTTGGCCTCCTTCTCCAATACCTTCCCCTCAGCCCTCAGGCACCTTCAGCTCACGCTTGCTCAGTTTCGGTCGACTTCCAC